ATGTAGGTTCCCCTTGATCCCTCGTTGTGTATGTTATATTTTGAGACTGATCATAAAAACAAAATGGATTAAAAGAAGAACTAAACAGATCTTTCTCATATTGCAATGATCGATTCTATTTCTTTCACATTAAGTACTGTACTAGTAAATATGTGAAATGACAAACTCACTTTGAAGGTTGGCTTTCATACACATCAGTATTAAGTTTAGATCAAAAGTTACCTCAAGGTGCATTTACTGTTAACATAATCAAACAGATTAGAGGAAAGAAGAGAAAAGATCAAACTGACAAAGAACTAATGAAGATGGGACAAAGGTGGGCGCCAAGATCCCTCTGGGATCTCTTGTTTTGGTAAAAAAAATCAAATTTCTGGACTCAACGTTAAGGTTTTGCGTTTAGTTCTTACATATTAGGCTGTTTCTGACAAAGTATAAATGCTAGAGCAACCGAACTTGGGTCATAGGTGTATCATGGGATGTTTAGCTGAATGCATTACACTCTTTACTAGCATTTCAACGGTTTCTGTATTTTTTTGGTAAAAACCTCAAATTTCTGAACTTAGAAAAAACTCAACGTTAATGTTTTGCGTTTAGCTCTTGCATATTAGGCTCTTTCTGACAAAGTATAAGAGCTAGACCAACCAAACCTCAATCATACATGTATCATGGGTAGTAGAGCCTACTACTCTAAAAACATTTCATGGATTTCTGCACTTTTTCAGATAAAAACCTGAAATTTTTGGACTCAATGTTATGATTTTGCGTTTAGGTCCGTTTCCTTATGTACTTGGGTCATACACTGTAGTTGTATCATAGTACTATGTCAAATGCTTATTATATTGACAAAGCGGGACAGGCGACACATATAATTATGCGTAATTAAGATGTAAGCCATGTAAGATAAGAGTTTTTCAATGAGGGATAGCCATGCATAACATCAGAATTCTAACATGAGATGATATCATGTTGTGGTATGTTTGACATCATTATACCCCCTGCAACGAAGTTGGAGGGGGGTGTATACTGGAATCAGCTTGTCTGTTCGTCCGTCCGCAGAAAAAAATTTGTCCGGACAACTCCTTTTAAAGTTATAAACCAATTTCAATAAAACTTTATAGATATGATTATAATGATAACTAACACCTGAAATTGTGCATCCAGGTATTATTACAGTACATTTCACCTAATATCACGTCTGTTAATGTCACTTTTCGGTTATTATCATGTTTTTTTGATGCACCGTTTTTCATGCTATATAATCTATGCAATTCAATTCTTTTATTATCACCTGATTTTATGTCGATTTCTCTTAATATCACTTTATTTTGGCCACTGTCACAAAAAAAATACAGGTAAATGGTGGTAATGATTCATGATAAATGCCCTGGGGACCTTCTGTCACACCCTGGACGCATTATGTAAAGAATGCCTCAGCCTAACAGGGTATTTTTTACACCTGGCTGACTGTCAAACAATAGGTTACACTTGGCTGACTGTTAAACAATAGGTTGACTTACATACTTGTTAACATGATATTCACCTGTGGTTGGGGGAGCTATAGGACAGTCTAACATCTGTAAATTTTTCTAATGCCAAGTGTGATGTATTCTTTCAACTAATTATAACATGTGTACTATCTTCGATTACACACTTGCAGCAAATATCTAAGGAAATTAACCTATAAAAAGATGTTACTAGCGAAAGAACAGTATATAATATCAAGATATAGGTAAATATTTACCAAGTCTCATGTTTACAATTGAATTTGATGCAGTACAAGCCAAACACTTGTATGCCTACATCACTACTGCAGTAAACAATCATAATTACAATCGTACTGATCGTCATTTTGCTGCTAACTATATGAAATGTAACTGCATACTGAAATGAAATACAAATAATATATTTATTTCTATACTTATTTACTTATATCTATATTTCAACTAGGGTAAAGAACAAGGTTAGTTACAAAATATCAATCTTCTTCTTAGAGCCACATCAATTAGGCATTTGGCTAAGTTCACTTCCGGTTTTGAGGGCTGAAAAACATCAGAAAATATGTATTCTGTTTATGTCATGTTTCTGTTAATATCATGTTTTTCTCTGACAAATGGGAAGTGGTATTAAGAGAAATCTACTGTATTTTCATTCTGACCCTTTTTACGGAGTTATTGCCCTTTGTTGAAAAAATCTTGCCTGCACAACTTCTCCAAAACTACTGCACCAATTTCAATGAAAGTTTTCAGATGTGATAACGACCACCTGTTGTTGTGCATCCAGGTATTATTTTTTTAATCTAACCCTTTTTAATGGAGTTATGGCCCTTTGTTGAAAAATCCTTGTCCTTACAATTTCTCCTAATCTACTGGGCCAATTTCAAAGAAAGATATGGCAACTGCCCCTTGGCATTGTGCATCCAAGTAGTACTTTTTTTATTCTAACCCTTTTAAAAGGAGTTATGGCCTTTTGTTGAAAAAACCTTGCCTACCTTCTAAACTACTGGGCCAATTTCAAAGAAAGTTTACAGATATGGTAATTACCCCCCTGATGTCCTGCATCAGGGTAGGTATTTTTTCATAATTATGGCCCTTTGTTAAAAATCTTTGTCCTAACATTTCTTCCTTAACTACTTGCACGATTTTAGCAAAACTTATTCATCTAGGCTAGCAATATTTGGTTTGCAAGTATGTTTTGGCATTGAGAAGGAGTACATGAAGTGTATATGTGAGTGATCTGTATACTTAAATCAGTGTACAGCTCAGCCAATAAAGAAATCATCACTGGTGGGAGACTAATGGTTTGCCATAGTAAGCCTTTAGCTTACAGTTCTGGTTTATATAGGAGCGGGGGGGATTAGTTAGCCTTTAACTTACAGTTCTGGTTTATATCGGAACGGGGGGCATTAGTCAACCTTTGGCTTACAGATCTGTTTTATATAGGAGCGGGGGGAATTAGTCAACCTTTGGCTTACAGATCTGTTTTATATAGGAGCGGGGGGGATTAGTCAACCTTTAGCTTACAGTTCTGGTTTATAGAGGAGCGGGGGGTATTAGTCAACCTTTCGCCTACGGTTCTGGTTTATATAGGAGCGGGGGTATTAGTTAGCCTTTAGCCTACAGTTCTGGTTTACATAGGAGCGGGGTGTATTAGTCAACCTTTAGCTTCCAGTTCTGGTTTATATAGGAGCGGGGGGTATTAGTCAGCCTTTAGCTTACGTTTCTGGTTTATATAGGAGCGGGGGTATTAGTTAGCCTTTGACTTACAGTTCTGGTTTATATAGGAGCGGGGGGGATTAGTTAGCCTTTAACTTACAGTTCTGGTTTATATCGGAACGGGGGGGATTAGTCAACCTTTAGCTTCCAGTTCTGGTTTATATAGGAGGGGGGGGTGGGGGGTGTATTAGTTAGCCTTTAGCCTACAGTTCTGGTTTACATAGGAGCGGGGTGTATTAGTCAACCTTTAGCTTCCAGTTCTGGTTTATATAGGAGCGGGGGGGATTAGTCAACCTTTGGCTTACAGTTCTGGTTTATATGAAGCGGGGGGTATTAGTTAGCCTTTGACTTACAGTTCTGGTTTATAGAGGAGCGGGGGGTATTAGTCAGCCTTTAGCTTACGTTTCTGGTTTATATAGGAGCGGGGGTATTAGTTAGCCTTTGGCTTACAGTTCTAGTTTAATCTATTTTGCTGAATTTCAAATTTTATTTTATTTTTAGATTTGGTGCAATAAGGTTTATAGTTTGGTAATTGTACTTTTAGTACAAACCAAATTTTGATGCAATCAGCCTCTTTCTAGTGGTATAGATCATTTTAAAATTGGTTCAGTATTTAGGGAGCGTTAATGAATAAATGTCATTGAGATCTAATTAAGGAATCTTACTTCTCTACGTATTTCATCAGGGCGAGGTGATGCCACAATATGTGATACACTTGGCACAGACAAGATATCCCAGTCCAAAGGACATATATACTTTACTTTGTAATACAGCTTTATTTTTTTCACGTGAAAATGTGTTTATATAAAAGATCACATAATACAGCTAAAACAAGAATCATTTTTAATTGCACTAGTTAGAGAATGTAAGTTAGTATCTAATTAGATGGTCTGAGATAATCCATCAGTATGACCCTGCTATAGGCATGGAGGGAAACGTTAATAGCTAATAGCACTCAAACTTCATTCTTAATTTTCTTATTGAATGTGTTCACTTTTGATTGATTTTCATGGCAGAAGGTGAAAGGTCAAACTGGCTTTTACTATAAATATTTGAAATGTCCTACATAAACTAAGATTTATGTTTGCTAATCAAATTCAACTTCATACACTGTTTTTTTACCAAAAGGTTTTGAATGGGATTATTTTCAGGTTTAAAGGTCAATGTCATTGTGCTATAAATCACTGCTTGTGCTAATCAAATTCAAACTTCATTGTCCGCTATCTTATAGAAGTGGCTTGCTTGAGATTACTTTTCAGATATGAAGGTGGAAGGTCAAGGTTGACGTCTCCCTTATTATAAACAGGTCATTACATAGTGCAGGAATACCTTGCTAGCGTGTCATTCCTTTACTTTCTAACTGATCAGATGAATTAAAGATTATTCTGCAATACCTTGTTAGCTCACCTGGCCCAAAGGGCCAAGTGTGCTTATGCCGTGGTGTGGCGTCTGTCGTCCGGCGTCAATATTTTACTTTAAATGACTTCTTTTTAACAACCATAATTAAGGCCTAGGGTGATTGATATTTGGCCAGAAGCAAACTGGGATGAAGGGCTACCAAGTTTGTTCAAATGAATGACCTTCATCCATTTTCAAGGTCACAGGGGTCAATTGTCTTAAAAAATCTTTAAACAACTTCTTCTATATAACTAAGAGGCCTAGGATAATGGTATTTGGCCAGTAACATGCTAGGATAAATGGCTACTAAATTTTGTTAAAATGAATGACCTTTACCTATAATCAAGGTCACAGGGGTCAAATATGTTAAAACCTTTAAACAACTTCTCAATAACCAAGAGGCATAGAGTGATGCTATTTGACCAGTAGCATGCTGTAATAGAGGGCTACCAAGTTTGCTCAAATTAATGACCTTGACATATATTCAAGGTCACAGGGGTCAAATATGTTTAAAACCTTTAAAGAACTTCTTCTGAATAACCAAGGAGCCTAGGATAATGATATTTGGCCAGTAACATGCTGGGATGAAGGGCTACCAAGTTTGTTCAAACAAATGACCTTCATCTATTTTCAAGGTCACATGGGTCAAATATGTTTAAAACTTTTTAACAACTTCTTCTGAATTACCAAGAGGCCTAGGATAATAAGATTTGGTCAGTAACATGCTGGGATGAAGGGCTACAAAGTTTGTTCAAACAAATGACCTTCATCTATGTTCAAGGTCACAGGGGTCAAATATGTTTAAAACTTTTTAACAACTTCTTCTGAATTACCAAGAGACCTAGGATAATAAGATTTGGTCAGTAATTTGCTGGGATGAAGGGCTACCAAATTTGTTCAAATGAATGACCACGACTGTTGTTCATGGTCACAGGGATCAGATATGTTTAAAATCTTTAAAAGACTTCTTTTGAATAACCAAAAGGCGCAGGGTTATGATATTGGGCCTGTAGCATGCTAGGATGAAGGGCTACCAAGTTTGTTCAAATGAATTACATTGACCCACTTTTAAGGTCACAAAGGTCAAATATGTTTAAAACATTTTAACAACTTCTTCTTAATAACCAAAAGGCCTTGGATGATGATATTTGGCCAGTTACATGCTGGGATAAAGGGCTACCAAGTTTGTTCAAGCAAATGACCTTCACCCGTTTTCCAGGTCACAGGGGTCAAATATGTTTAAAACTTTTAAACAACTTTTTCTGAATTACCAAGAGGCCTAGGGTTATGATATTTTGCCAGTTAGATGCTGGGGTGAAGGGCTACCAAGTTTGTTCAAATGAATAACCTTCGCTCATATTTAAGGTCACAGGGATCAAATATGTTTAAATCATTAAATGACTTGTTCTGAATATTCAAAAGGTCCAGAGTAATGATATTTAGCCAGAAGTATGCTGGGACGGAAGGCTATAAACTCTGTTCAACTTAATGTCCTTGTTCGACTTTCAAGGTCACAGGCATCATATGTTTAAATCATATCATAGATTCAAATGAATTGAACACAGATATTTTGCCTGTAGCTGTATATTAGTCCACTTTTAAGATTATAAGTGTGAGATTAATACCGGGTGAGCGATTCAGGCCCATTGGGCCTCTTGTTTATTAGTTGGGATTCTCCAAACTAACACACAAATAGTGGTAATATTGGTATTGTCTAAACATTTATCTCCTGGAATGTTAAATGGTGAACAAATCTGATCATACAGGAGTTGTTTATTTTCATGCTTATTTAGGGTCACATTATGAAGGAACAAGAAAGGTCATAATACAATACATGTCTGAAAATCCAGGCTCTGCCTTAGATGTGATGTGCTCTTCTATGATGGAACCTGGACAATTGGAACTGGAAAAGGTTTGTTGCACCCTTGCATTTTATGGAATGAATGGTCTTCAAATAACTTTTATTTTTAGCAATACGTTTTTGAAAAATTACAGCATTATGGTTACTTTCTAGTATAAAATAAAAAATGAGCTTTCTATAAAGATCACCAAAACGTAAGTACCATAATAATTAAAAAAGAACAACACTTGTGTACTCGCCAACCTGTCCATAATCCTTACATTTGAGTTGAACATGTTTCACTAGTGTGACTACCCATAGGACAGGCATTAAATTGTCTCATAATAGGGGGAGGGGGTAAGTAAGTTCAAGTTGGAGAGTCACACTTAAATAAACAGGATTATCTTAGATCCTTGATGTAAATAGCCTATTTATTATTGAACGATCATCAGGAACAATATTTTGGAATAAATCTGTGTCACCGATTGGTTTTGTTAAAAACATTTGTGTCTCCATTTACACCACAGTCAAATATATGTATCCACAGTTCAAGCCCTAAGTTAATCTGGTAATAAGTCTTAGATACATATCCCATCAATGTTGTGTAAACAGAGTATGACTATCCGGAGGGCGATAGGCAGTGGCAAATGAGGGAAATATTAGTTGGTCTGAAACCAACAAGGGCCAGGGGAACAACTCAATGTTGTATACACGGGAAATATCCAAGGAAAGTTTCCTTTTTTAACTTCTCAGGGAGTATGGGTCAAGGGATTATAATCTGTTTGGTCTGGAGTATTCTCGGAGCTAGAAGACTCACTGTTTTGTAAAAGTAGGTTGTAGCACCTCCTTGACTTTTTCTTGGCTTCAAAATTCTACTCTTCCAAAAGGAATTTTGGGTGTTCTGAAATACTATCAAAAGTATCCAAATCCCCACTATATAGCCAAAATAACCACAAACATAACCATGAAAAGACAAATTGCTTCCAAATTGTCTCTTGGGTCTTAGTTCTGTTTCACACCTTCATATCTTTTTTTATTGTTGTAAATATATAGGGTGTTATTTCATAGTTTCCTGTAAAATTTTCCTTTCTCTTTCTATTTCAGTTGAAAACCCAAATGATGAAAAAAGTAAGGTGATCGTCTGTTGACATTGTGCCAAACACTGCTGTCTTACATTGGTGAAATATATGGTGTAGGGATGATGTAAATGTGTTAAAAAGACAGATGATATTCTGTTGACTTTGTGCCAAACACACTTGCCGTTGATTGGTGAATTCATGGTGTAATGAATAGCAATGAAAAAAATCAATCATGTTTTCTACCATTTGTCCTATCAACGTTTGTCTTCACCAAGAAGTGATGCAGTACATTTACTTACTAAAAAGCGGCAGTCTAAGGGTGTCTCCCATGTATTGTATTCAAGGAGATGTTTTATACACTGGTTACACACATGTGGTCTAGGACTGGCGACACACATGTCCTCAAGAACAGGTTACACACATGTGGTCAAGAACTGGTTACACACATGTGGTAAAGGACTGGTAACACACATGTGGTCAAGAACAAGTTACACACATGTGGTCAAGAACAAGTTACACACATGTAGTCAAAGAACAAGTTACACACATGTAGTCAAAGACTGGTTACACACATGTGGTCAAAGACTGGTTACACACATGTAGTCAAGGACAGGTTACACACATGTGGTTAAGGACAGGTTACACACATGTGGTCAAGGACAGGTTACACACCTGTCGTCAAGAACAAGTTACACACATGTAGTCAAAGAACAGGTTACACATATGTGGGCAAGAACTGGTTACACACATGTGGTCAAGGATGGGTTACACACATGTGGTGAAGGACCGGTTACTCACATGTAGTCAAGGACTGGCTACACACATGTGGTCAAGGACTGGCTACACACATGTGGTCAAGGACTGGCTACACACATGTGGTTAAAAACTGCATTATTAAATACATGTGGTCATGGATGTATTACTCAATTGTGAACAAAGACTGGTCATACATATATATATCTTATCAAGAACTTGTGATCTATTTATGGTCAAGAATTGGTCATAATCATATATATACTTGAGGTCAAGGGCTAGTCAAACACTTAAAAGTGTTGGTCTTACATGTGCAATAACGACAGGTAAGTCACTTACAGTTAAGAATGGATGACACACTTGTGGTTAAGGATTAGTCTTACTTTTTCGTTAAGTGTGAATTATACACTTACTATCGTTGACAGAACTCATCACACATTCATTTCTTATAGATTATTGACTAGTCACATACTTGTGATCAAGAACTGGTCAGACTGTTGTGGTCAGAGACTAATAACTAAATTGATCCAGTGTGATTCAGTTCAGATGTATTTTTCTGTTGATTACAATATAGTATGTGTCAGATTGACATACAACCTACAGTAAACAATATGTTGACTTTTGCTAGATGATATATTATGTGCAAATGAAAGGTATGTTGTATTGATTTATATCTGTTATCAGAGTGATCTATGACCTTTAATGACCTGCAGCAACCTATATATTGACCTTTAAAAGTGTTAATTTTACTTCAGTACAAATGTGCAAAAGAAACTTTGTAATACTAATTGATAGTAATCATCAAATTGACCTTTGACATTAGTTGACCTATGCATTGACTTCGGTTTTATTATTAAACTATGTTTTGGTGACCTATATACTGTATACCAGGAAACCTTTGCCAAGACAAATTTTCACCCCATGCCATCGAAATCCATATATAAACAGTGTTAATTTCGCCCTTCACATGTAATTGCTATATATGTAGAATGTTTATTAGCTCAACTGGCTCACCTGCTGTTATAATTATTGCACATGTCTTTTGAACAATTTCTTCTGAAGAACTGGAGGACCTAGGGTCAGGACATTTGACCAGCTTTAACAATCTTCTTCTCAAGTTCCATAAGGCCCATGGTCATGATATTTGGCATGTAGGTACCTGGGATGGAATGCTCTTCATTAAAATGACCTTTCAAGGTCATATGGGTCATGGTACTTTGATATGTTATGTAGAACATGGCTGTGTGAATCATTTTCTTTATTACAGTAATGAGGTCAAAGGTCAACCCTAAATGCTAGCCAGAGTCTAGTGGGTTAAAAGCTTTAAAATTAAAATTTCAAATTTCAAACAACAATACCTTAAGAACCGTTTAAGAGATGTTAAAATGTCTTATGTTTTAATTACCAAAGGTCTGAAGTTACATATATATATATTTTTTTTTATGTCAGTTTCATGTAACAAAGAAGCAGGTGAGCGAACAGGCCATCTGGGCCTCTTGTTAATATTCCCTATAATGACAAATTCACCCTCATTACTGGGGCCGATAAGGCAAAATTAAACTGCGGCGAATATTTTCTCGGTATATAATATTGACTTAAATTTGCCTAAATGAAATTTATGTTGTATGCTATTAATAATATTCCTTTGGTCTGTTACCTTTGATGACCTTTAAATTGACCTTTATTATCACTGTGCTTTATATAACACTTGTGCACCTTAGATATATGTGATATTGATTGTTATTTATTATCTTTTTGATCTATAATCTTTTGTAGCCTTTATATGGATTTGATATCAATTTGCTCTATCATAAAATGTACAGGAGAAAATTGTGTTGTCCTAAGCACATACATTGTAATTCCGTACTTTGTCCTAGCTGTGAGCTGGTAGTACACTTGTGGTAAATCTCATTCAGCATAAATATGCCTCTGTAGGGTTGTACCTGAAAAAAGCATTGTCACTGTTAAAGGGAATGTTAAAAAGTAGAAAATTTCATAATGCCCATTATATATATGATATCTTTAGTGACCTCTTGTAAAGAAAAAATAGAATTGTTAACATTTCTGGTGTTGTGATACGGCAGAGACATCTAGTTTAAGCTTGGTATGGAAGATACAAATGTAAATGAGTTCTTAGTATGGAAGAGACTATATGATGACGGATGTTAAATACTATTGGTATGATAGAGAAAATATATGCTAGCATGTGTTGGAAAAAAAAACTACGACAGAGACCATGGACTTAAACATGTGCTTGGTTTAATACTGCAGGGACGATACATTTTAGCACGTGCTTGGTTTGGTATGGCAGAGACAATAATCTTAAGTATGTGCTCGGTTTTTTGTAGGGACGAATGTTTACATAGTTTAGTATGGCAGAGACAATAAATTGTGTTTACATGTGGTTAGACTAGTAGAGCCCTACATTTTAAGATGTGTCTTGTGAGGTAGAGACAACTTGAAAGAATGGGAGATTAGATGAAAGAAGAGATATTGATGAAATTATTCTATATTTCATACCAGTTTATACATTAAAGCTCAATAATTTTGCTTGGTGTTTGTTTCGTAACTTAATATTTAAGTCAAATGTGGCTGTATGATGTAGCTGAACATACACCACACAAACATGCTGAAGCAGAAGCCCGGCAGTTGTATTGTGTAGAAATTAAAAAACCCAGTTTGTCATAATTGCAGTGAAGTCTGCCTGCAAGTAAGTATTTAATATCTGAAATGTTTAAACCCGTAATGGAAAAATCGCCTTTAAAACTTTTACAGATCCACCTCGACGACTTGATGCTTGATGGTTTTTATCATATTGTTAGATCTGATATATATATATATATATATATATACATTGTATATATACAAAATCTACTCAAAAGGCAACAGAAAAAACACTTTCAACACAAGTTAATAACTTCCGAATCACAAGGTGTTTTTTGGCATTGTAAACGAGTTATCAAGTATCGTACGTAATGTATTGCCCGTTGGCTATACATATTTTACATGTACCCTAACACTGCCATCTGTGGGCTATAAATATTTTACATGTACCCTAAAACTGCCCTTTGTGGGCTTTATCTGATGAGGCGGGCAATTTTTAGAAAGCTACATGTATAAAAAACAACAACAGGCTATGCGATAAATTTTAAATCCAAAATCAAACCACAACAAAATTATAGAAATTTTTAAAAAGTTTTATCATCAAGCTTATTCGTGAAAAGATTATTAGTTTTACCCGCACTAGTACTGTATTTTATCGTCTATACGGATTAGTTAGTGGAGTAACAGCAATCACTAGTAGTGTATTATATTGTGTATGTGGATTAGGTAGTGGAGTAACAGCAATCATTAGTACTGTATAATATCGTGTATGTGGATTAGTTAGTGGAGTAACAGCAATCACTAGTACTGTATCATATCGGGTATGTGGATTAGTTAGTGGAGTAATAGCAATCACTAGTACTGTATCATATCGTCTATGTGGATAAGTAAGTGGAGAAGCAGCAATCACTAGTACTGTATAATATCTTCTATGTGGATTAGTTAGTAGAGTAGCTACTATCACTATTACTGTATAATATCGTGTATATGGATTCAAAGCGGAGTAACAGCAATCACTAGTACTGTATCATATCGGGTATGTGGATTAGTTAGTGGAGTAACAGCAATCACTAGTACTGTATCATATCGTCTATGTGGATAAGTAAGTGGAGAAGCAGCAATCACTAGTACTGTATAATATCGTCTATGTGGATTAGTTAGTGGAGTATCTACTATCACTATTACTGTATAATATCGTGTATGTGGATTCGTTAGTGGAGTAAACAGCAATCACAAGTACTGTATTATAACGTGTATATGGATTCGTTAGCGGAGTAACAGTAATCACTAGTACTGTATTATATTGTCTATGTGGATTAGTTAGTGGAGTAGCTACAATCACTATTACTGTATAATATCGTGTATGTGGATTCGTTAGTGGAGTAAACAGCAATCACAAGTACTGTATTATAACGTGTATATGGATTAGTTAGTGGAGTAGCAGCAATCACTAGTACTGTATAATAGCGTGTATGTGGATTAGTTAGTGGAGTAACAGCAATCACTAGTACTGTATCATATCATCTATGTGGATTAGTTAGTGGAGTAACAGCAATCATTTGTAGTGTATTATATCGTGTATGTGGATTAGTTAGTGGAGTAACAGCAATCACTAGTACTGTATAATATCTTCTATGTGGATTAGTTAGTGGAGTAACGGCAATCACTAGTACTGTATAATATCGTCTATGGGGATGAGTTAGTGGAGTAACAGCAATCACTAGTACTATATTATATCGTGTATGTGGATTAGTTAGTTGAGTAACATCAATCACTAGTACTGTATAATATCGTGTATGTGGATTACTTAGTGGAGTAACATCAATCACTAGTACTGTATAATATCGTCTATGTGGATTAGTTAGTGGAGTAACAGCAATCACTAGTACTGTATTATATCGTGTATGTGAATTAGTTAGTAGAGTAACAGCCATCATTAGTACTGTATCATATCGTGTATGTGGATTAGTTAGTGGAGTAACAGCAATCACTAGTACTGTAACATATCGTGTATGTGGATTAGTTAGTAGAGTAACAGCAATCACTAGTAGTGTATTATATCGTGTATGTGGATTAGTTAGTGGAGTAACAGCAATCACTAGTACTGTATAATATCGTGTATGTGGATTAGTAAGTGGAGTTACAGCAATCACTAGTAGTGTATTATATCGTGTATGTGGATTAGTAAGTAGAGTTACAGCAATCACTAGTACTGTATCATATCGTGTATATGGATTAGTTAGTGGAGTAACAGCAATCACTAATACTGTATCATATCGTCTATGTGGATACTGGATAAGTAAGTGGAGTAGCAGCAATCACTAGTACTGTATAATATCGTCTCTGTGGATAAGTTAGTGGAGTAGCAGCAATCACTAGTACTGTATACTATCGTCTCTGTGGATAAGTTAGTGGAGTAGCAGCAATCACTAGTACTGTATACTATCGTCTCTGTGGATAAGTTAGTGGAGATTAGTTAGTGGAGT